ACGCCTCCTACCACCACCAAATACGGATCAATTCCGACTACTACTGAGCGCACTCCTTCCGTCATGCCTACTACGACTACCACGTTTCCTACCAGCTGGTCCTTTGTCCCCACTACGACGGAGCGCCCTGATAACAACAGCACAGGCAAGCCGGCCACCAGTCGCATTGAGTTGTCGGCGTCCATCCACGGGACCACCATGCTTGTTGGTTTCGTACCCGTCCTCTTAGCGTTCTAGATCGTTAACTCGTTGAATATGCACATTGAGTGACTCCAACTTGCCGGGACGGGATTGGGCGTCGTCGACTTGAACGACTGGGTTGGCTGGGCTGTCGATTGTTGACATGGCAGGAATCGAGTGAAGGAATTGTCATCATCGTTTTATTATCCGGATTTTTATCTGCATCGACGATGTATCTACCTCAGCAAAGTTTGGGAGATACATGGAAGTGCCTGGATCTCCGAAATACTGTAGAGACTTTTAGCAAGTGCGAAATGTGAGTAGTTTACATCCGGATAATAAAACGATGATGACAATTCCTTCACTCGATTCCTGCCATGTCAACAATCGACAGCCCAGCCAACCCAGTCGTTCAAGTCGACGACGCCCAATCCCGTCCCGGCAAGTTGGAGTCACTCAATGTGCATATTCAACGAGTTAACGATCTAGAACGCTAAGAGGACGGGTACGAAACCAACAAGCATGGTGGTCCCGTGGGTGGACGCCGACAACTCAATGCGACTGGTGGCCATTTAGCAAGTCTGAAAAGTAAATCCCGACACACCAAGCCAACACCATCCATTATTCCTTCTCCTGTTCTTAGTCTGTTCCTACCGGTATGACTTCATTGCGCGCAATTCAACGATAGACACATAAGGGCGTGTAGAATGTGGATTTGTGTATCATGTGCGACGTTATGAAACGATAGTCATGGAACGCTTTGGACTGTAGGGACTCGGACTAGCTCAGCGGTCCTACTGCCCGCTGCTTTCGAAGTTTGAGGATCTTGAGTCAAGATTTTCGCTCTGTTTGGCCGTCAAGTATCGTGGCGACCAAACATAGGTTTACGTAGTCAGGACCGAGCTCGCCGCCCGTCGTCCATGCCTTGGCATAGGGTGATCAGGCGGCAATCATCGGAGGCTTGGTGCGCGGCGGCGGGGAGTATACTGTGATGTACTGCCCTGAGCTACAAACTCAGACTAGCGTCCTGCATCACTGCACTGTACATACCCGCGCTTGTGCACTATCCTAACACTACATAGTCTTAACTACCTATGTGTCGGCTGAAGCGAGTCGGATGTTGGTGTGAGTGGAGATTTCGCAAGCAACCTCAATAGAGCAATTTGATTGGCTCGGAAAGTAGTCAGATGTCTGCGGACTTCGAGGCCAAAAGTGTGATGACTTCCTCACTTTTCAGACCTGTTTAAGTCTGCAAGCTTCGAAGTTCGAATCGAAGTTTAAGTCTGGAAAGTCAAGATTTCGCACTTGCTATAATGTGTTGAGATTCACACAATTCGGAGAACGTGATTTTAGAGGTTTATAGATTTATAGAGTATTTTGTGCTATCTCAACTCAAAAGTGGACTACCGAAAACTCTAATGCTTTCTGATTGGTTACATACATTTTTATTTATAGTCAATCACAAGTTGTAATTACGTCATTGTTCAATTTGCAGTCTTGGGCTCACTGGCATCGGCCACCACTAGCAGAGAAGGGCTCCTGTCCTCGCAGCCTTCAGCATATACTGCAAAACATAGTGCATTCTATCTACTACGTAGGATATAGCCATGCTACACCAGGTTTCGTGCAGCAACATCAGCAATAAGACCAGACCGATCACATTGATTAGGAGCTGTGTCGGCCTGTGGCGTAGGATGGATTTCAGCCTACGCCACAAGCCGACAAAGTTTCACCGAAGGCGACTGGTGGCTTGAATAAAGCACACTGTGCACGATTGAATCGTGGGCACTAGGCTTCAATTGCAACACCTTGTGGCTGAGTCGTTGTACTCATTCGCTGGGTGCTGTAGAATGACAGCAAGGCTATGCCGCTACCCTATATTTAGACCAGCTATTACCGTCGTCAACAAACTCGCTGACAATACAGTTTGACATTTGACACCCTCGATTCAGTAGAGAGGTTTCGCAAACGTCCCATTCCCATTCCCAGATCTTAAACCTCTAAAACATAATTATTCTATGGGAAACCTGCCAAACCTAGTCATTCTTCCAGAGAATGTGCCATTTGTATGGGCACCCATCCCATTCCCAGAAACCAACCGAATTGACATGGCCAACACCGACAAACGCCGCAACTGGACGCCCGAAGAAGACGTAGTGCTGCTCATCAATTCGCCGCCGACCTACCCTTTGCAGCTGACAAGGGTCAAGTTACGAAGTCCTGGCAATCCTTGGCGGACAAGTTGGTTGCCTGCGATCACTTCGATCGTATCGTCGACGGTCGCAAGGTGCAAAATAGGCTTACGGTGCTGGTAGAAGAGCACCGCAAATTTGACATGGCATCTGCAAAACTCTCAGGGGTCGACCAAGAGGAGTTGGAGAAGCATACCCTGCTCGACGACTTGCTGCCGTTGCTGGACTTCGGCGGACTCGGATACTAAACACCGAGGTCGACTGTTTTGGAGTTCAATACCGGCATTTTGATCACCTTGGTCGACAGGTCTTCAGTTCAATAACCCATATTGTTGACATTATTCCAGGGACTTCAAACCGTAGATGGAACGTACGGAGTACTATTTAGTATGGTGCTCGGAAGATAGAGACAATGCCCTGTGATATGATGAGCAAGGCTATGAGTTGTCGCCCTGTGATATGATGAGCAAGGCTATGAGTTGTCGCCCTGTGATATGATGAGCAAGGCTATGAGTTGTCGGGTAGGGATGTGAGAGGTTTGGAATGATGTAGCCTTGGCTTTCATTCCTGGTTCTACCTCTAGTTGAGCTCTACCTTTGTCATCTACCCTTCCCCCGGCCTATCGAACAGCGACCATGCTTGTTCTTCTCACCGTAGTCCTTGCCTTCATGATGCCTGCGTCAGGCCAGCCCCCTACGAAGGAAGAATGCGCTAAACATGGGCCTAACACTACGTGCCACCGGAACATCGCCTTCGTGTGCGGCTCGGATGGCCAAAGCTACGACAACCACTGCGAATTTCTAATTGCTGCATGCGCCTCCAACTCCCACCTGTCCTTACATGCCCGTGGGCACTGCGACGACATACGCCCGACGACGGATGAATGCGATCGTATCGGACCTCTATGTCCCCGCATTTACATCCCCGTGTGCGGCTCGGATGGACGAAACCACGGCAACTCCTGCGAATTTCAAATCCGTCAATGTAAAGATCCCACCCTGAGATATCGAGGCAATGGGGAGTGCGAAGTCAAACGCCCGACGAAGGATGAATGCAATCGTGGTCGTCATTTAAAAGGGTTGCATTAGTCATGACAGTAAGTTACTGTTAATAACATCAGAGATATGTGACTCGAGCATTTGTTTTTGCCTTGGATTGCGTATGCAGCCGTGGTGCTCATTTTCTCGTACTCGTCAGCTCCGTCATGACGAGAGATGGTAACTAACTGCGTTGATATAGGTCTGGAGGCCACGTCATAAAATTATGTCCTATTAAACGGTTTTGACAAATCAGCAAAAAAATTCCAAAGTCTCAGATCCCATGACAAAAGGAGAAAAGAAGTATCTACAAAGTTGACTGGTTTATTGAGACCTACAAGATTGCGCGGCGTTCCAACGCTTGGGAAAACTGCATGAATCCCGGTACAACACAAGAAGTGAGTGGCTATGTTACAGTTAACGTTAAGGCATACTAGTATGTCTGGATCACGTTTATCCAAACAATCCACCAGAGGCGCATGCCCATAGAACTCCGTTTCCGATGATAACCCAAACTCAATAAACCAGTCAACTTTGTAGATACTTCTTTTCTCCTTTTGTCATGGGATCTGAGACTTTGGAATTTTTTTGCTGATTTGTCAAAACCGTTTAATAGGACATAATTTTATGACGTGGCCTCCAGACCTATATCAACGCAGTTAGTTACCATCTCTCGTCATGACGGAGCTGACGAGTACGAGAAAATGAGCACCACGGCTGCATACGCAATCCAAGGCAAAAACAAATGCTCGAGTCACATATCTCTGATGTTATTAACAGTAACTTACTGTCATGACTAATGCAACCCTTTTAAATGACGACCACGATTGCATTCATCCTTCGTCGGGCGTTTGACTTCGCACTCCCCATTGCCTCGATATCTCAGGGTGGGATCTTTACATTGACGGATTTGAAATTCGCAGGAGTTGCCGTGGTTTCGTCCATCCGAGCCGCACACGGGGATGTAAATGCGGGGACATAGAGGTCCGATACGATCGCATTCATCCGTCGTCGGGCGTATGTCGTCGCAGTGCCCACGGGCATGTAAGGACAGGTGGGAGTTGGAGGCGCATGCAGCAATTAGAAATTCGCAGTGGTTGTCGTAGCTTTGGCCATCCGAGCCGCACACGAAGGCGATGTTCCGGTGGCACGTAGTGTTAGGCCCATGTTTAGCGCATTCTTCCTTCGTAGGGGGCTGGCCTGACGCAGGCATCATGAAGGCAAGGACTACGGTGAGAAGAACAAGCATGGTCGCTGTTCGATAGGCCGGGGGAAGGGTAGATGACAAAGGTAGAGCTCAACTAGAGGTAGAACCAGGAATGAAAGCCAAGGCTACATCATTCCAAACCTCTCACATCCCTACCCGACAACTCATAGCCTTGCTCATCATATCACAGGGCGACAACTCATAGCCTTGCTCATCATATCACAGGGCACTGTCTCTATCTTCCGAGCACCATACTAAATAGTACTCCGTACGTTCCATCTACGGTTTGAAGTCCCTGGAATAATGTCAACAATATGGGTTATTGAACTGAAGACCTGTCGACCAAGGTGATCAAAATGCCGGTATTGAACTCCAAAACAGTCGACCTCGGTGTTTAGTATCCGAGTCCGCCGAAGTCCACCTCGGTGCACACACCAGTATTTTTGAGAAATGCTGGTCCGCCGAACCCACCCGGTTCTCGACTGGTCATTGGTATACTATTAATACGTGAGTTTAGGGCGGGTCTGGATGCCACGAAACATGGCATAAAATGGCCGTTTTTCGAAGAAAAGTTGCGAAAATCGAAATCTTCCATTAGTCAAAAAAAGTCGGACAGGATATACAGGAACCAAGTGATCGTCCGACCGTTTGTCCGACTTTCTTGTTCGTTGTAATATTAATTATATACAAAAGCGAAGTCAAAACCAGACGTGAGAAATTGACAGAAGAAAGTCGGACCGAATGTCCTGTATCAATTGATTTGTTAAAAGTGCATTTTCCGATGATAACCCAAACTCAATAAACCAGTCAACTTTGTAGATACTTCTTTTCTCCTTTTGTCATGGGATCTGAGACTTTGGAATTTTTTTGCTGATTTGTCAAAACCGTTTAATAGGACATAATTTTATGACGTGGCCTCCAGACCTATATCAACGCAGTTAGTTACCATCTCTCGTCATGACGGAGCTGACGAGTACGAGAAAATGAGTACCACGGCTGCATACGCAATCAGTCGAGAGTACACATTCTCGTAGTACAATAAGATTGACCAGTTCTTTTGGCTCTCAGTTGGGAGCGCGTCTACTTATAGATCACTTTACACCTGATCTAAGTATGATAAGAACACACCGATGGTCGCTGGTTCAGTCCCAGGTTTCCTCAGGTCCTTGGCATCGACACCAGGAAGCCTAGTTAGGGTCGAGTCATAACCCTCCCCTTTCAACTCAATCCAAGGCAAAAACAATTGCTCGAGTCACATATCTCTCATGTTATTAAGAGTAAATTACTGTCATGACTAATGCAACCCTTTTAAATGACGATCACGGTCGCATTCATCCTTCGTCGGGCGTATGTCGTCGCAGTGCTCACGGGCATGGGAGTTGGAAGCGCATGCACCAATTAGAAATTCGTAGTGGTTGTAGGTACTGTACTTACAAAACAAGCTCAATACTTCGAGGTACAACTGTTCGAACTTGTAGTTGAGTCGAA